ACAAGACATTGCCTTTGCGTTATTTATGTCTATTAATAAAGCTACATCTTATCAAGAAACAATGCATACTTAAACTATTTCCATACCAAATGAGTCATGGTTGCTATCGTTTAAATTAATCTTTATTGGCATATTGGCTGATATAGCACATGTATAAAACAAAAAAAAAGTTAATCTTTCAAACATAGTTTTCACTATACAAATTTCCGTTTAAAGACTGGACTACTACTTTTTATTTTAATGATACAGTATATTATGTTCAACGTCAATGTCTTTCTAATTTCGATATCCAGAAATCTTCATAAAGATACAGTCGCACAGTAAACTTAAGACTTGAAGCCAACTTTTCATTATTTTCCCTCAAAAAGGAATGTCAAAATATAATGTTTTAGAATTCCAATAATATATATATATATATATAAATACATATATATATATAACTTAAGATATCAATTATAGTCGGATAATAGGTCAATATATGATAAAATCCAAACCAACTACGTTGTTAGAGAGAGATCGCGATAGGTTCGGATTCCGCTAAGTCTATTTATACTTATTTTGTTAAATATTGACACTTTAACTGATACAGATGAACAGAGGGATTGTTAGATCAATGTAGAGGTAGTCTTATGGAATAAATAAAAAGTAACACGCTTATCGGACCAGTCTTCCCAATAAGTACGGTACAGGTACTTCCGGACAGTCATCTGCACGACGTTAGACTTAATGACATGTACATATGTTTTCATATTACGCAGAACGAATTTAAATAGTTCATAAGTAATAATATGAAATGAAATGAAAAATAATTTTATTCTCGGACTGAAATCCCCTTAGAATAATAGTAAAGTTAAAAAAATATGTACATTAGTCTGGCATGTAGATATCATACAAATATATACGAGTAAAACCCAGGAAATTGTAAACATATATACACACATACAAAGATACTAAGGAAAATATGAATATCTACAAAAAATACTAAGGAAAACACAAATATATATAATAAATACTAAGATATAAAAAAAAGTGAATAAATAAAAATAAAATGACTTCTATCAATTAACTGCTGGTGACCAACAAAATTATATAACCCAGAAATTTTTACAAGCTTGCGCAAGTTTGAATTTGTAGTAGGTGGTGGAATAGGAGTTGTTCGAATGAGTTTATGGACGTGGTTTGACGTATGGAGACGGGTAAGGAGTTCCAGAAGAAGGTAGCACAAATAACGAAGGATTTACTTAAGAAAGTGGTATGATGAGAGGGGATATATATAAATCTATTGCTTGAGATCTGGTGTTGCTTTGAGGTAAGTAATGCTGATAATCCTGAGGCAATGTATGCGAATGGTACTTGAATCCAGGGGGATTCATTTTTCTCTTATTATTGAACACGTCCACTGTACTTTATGTATTTGTTACGTATTAGGTTAGAAAGAGAGAGGAGAGAATATGGGGAGTGGGAAGATGTATAAGGGGAGAGAAGGAAGAGAAAGGGTACAGAATGATAATAAATGAATGAAAGAAATGGTAAAAATAAAAAATAAATATAATAATAAAAAAAAGGTAAAAATAAAAATAATAATAATAATATATATAAATATTTTATACTATGCTCATACATATTGTTAATCCTATATATTTGTATATTAATTTTAAATATTGTCTGTAGTGATTAATAAGTATGCTGTGTTGTTAGCAACCCAATGTAATTGGGCAGCACCATTTTATTTTATGATAATAAAGTGATTCTATCTCTCAGTTTCTTTCAAAATGTTGAAATACTAAAAACAAAAAAACAGTCAGTAGTATTCTTTCGATTTCTAAGAAATCTGTTATTTGTAGCTATATTTTTTTTTCTTATTTAATCGTTGGGATGGGAAGGATGCCAGCTGCCCACCCTGTCCCATCTACATTCATGAATTAACGTACGGATCCAGAAAAGATATCTGTAGTTTACAGAATCCAGATGAATATGGAAACATTGTCGTTTTCACAATGACACACACTTTCACCAGTGATATACCATCGAGAAAGTAAATATCGAGTAAGGATCTGAAGATGATGTAAAATTGAAATAATTGCTTCTGGGCCGTTGTGATGTAGTTGGCGGGATGGCATGGCAGAATAACCGATCCATTCAATGGCTGACTTTCTTCCGACAATGACGGATGTAAAATAAACCTCCTCACCCTCTTCTTTACATTATTCCGCATATTTCATGCCGATTTCTATTCTTAAATACAAGCGCGAATACAACTTTCCTAATTTCTTCAAACCTCTTAATAAGGTAGCTGCTAATGGAGTGACTAAAGCAGTTTGTAGGCCAGTTTTAGTAAATACCTAGTGAAACATTATAGCACAGCCAAACTTTTACCAAAACTTTGGGGAGACCACCAGTGACATCAAGCATCTTGCGTTATATATGACACAAATGTTTCCGAATTTTCCAACATTTTACCAATAAACCAAATAGAAAACTCAATATTATTCAGCATTCGTAATAACACATTTTCCCCCCAAAATCAGAGATGTGAAAATGCTAAGGTGAATACCAAGTCCTGCGCATTTTACTCAAATACTGACCTGCCCAACTTTGAGTAATTTAGTCACGGCCTCCCTTTCGTAATTAACGAGAATAAAATATAATCATCGCTCTTTTTCAGTACTTTCTACTTCATATATTGGATAAAAAAAAATATAGTTTCATGTACCAGATGCACACACCTAGATTATATTATATTATAACCTTGGATCAAGGTAAAACGCAGATAAAATCCAGGCCATTGTCATTAGTTCAAAACCCCTCGTCAAACACAATACCCACATTCCTATTCTGTACCTAAATGACCATCCCATCACCTTCAGCTCCTTAGTTAAAAACCTAGGCATTTTCATTGGCCAATCCCTCTCCTGGAATCGCCATATTACTCGCATCTCTCGACGGTCGATTTGTACCATTAAACTATTTCATCGCTTCCTCCAGCTCCTGAGGCGCTCTCCCTCCCCCCCCCCCTCCTCCGAGTAATGACGTCATCTTCCCCTAAAAAAATTAATTTATTTCTTTAGCTGTTTTATATCATGTAATATATTAATTTATTCCACTCAATATTTATCTGAAACAGTTGCTTTATTAATATGCTATAATAAATTACTTTGTATTTATTCTTAAATTCTTTAAAAGTGGCGAGCGCCCCTGATGATAGGTGCCCCTCTAGGTTGGCGCCCCGGGCAATTGCCAGGTCTTAAGACCGGCACTGGTAATAATATTCATGTTTAAATTATGTATTTCTGCGATGTAAATGCCCGTTTCAACGTTTTCGGAGATGTACCTTTTTAATATAATATCCATTTTTTAAGTTATGCAGCTAAATGATCGAAATCATTTTTCGGATAAATACTACCAATCCCCATCTGTGAGATCTGTCATTTCATAGTTTAGAACCATAAGTGATTTTTAACTAAAGTGTTCATGGTTTTACATCTTCCGATTAAAATAATATTGGCTACATATCTAGAAGGAGCTGAAGGTCCCATCCAAAACCTCTTACTTATACAAGGGACATATAATACAAGTTTATGAATATTCGTACAAGTTTTTATCAATTCTCTGAAAGAGGTAACAAAATTATTTCATAACACTTTGAATGCAATACAACTGTAATTCATATGAGTTTATGAGGTCAAAAGGTTAAATGTCAGTATTCCCTTTTATATCTCAATTTTGATTGCCCAATTATTCACCTGATTCAATAAAAGCATGCAGAGTACAATATACTTATATGATTCCTTAAGCAGTTAAAAAGTTAAAAAAACTGCTTAAAAAATTGTTTAGACTTAATTAAATTATATTAGTTCAAAGGTTATATTAGTCTTTAATTCACAAGATACATTAAACATTTAAATATAATCTAAGATCCTGTGTGTTGTTTAAGATCTAAGCTCTGGTATCCTATAATGATCATAACAAATCAAAAAATATTTTAAATATTTTTCAGGAAAAAAATTAATAATATGTGAATAATGCATCAATCTACTTTAAATTTCTAATTGAATACATTGAGTAAAATGTTCCATGATAAGTATAAAATTTTAAAATTTGTGTTTTTTTAATTTTAGGTTTTATTTTAAAGCACAAAAATATAAAACTGTTTAATCTCTATCAATTAAAATTTTATATCTATATGAATTCAAAATCTTTAGTCAATCTTTTAATAAAGAGAAAAACCCATAATGGAAGCTTTTTCTTTTAAATTTTCCTTAACTTTAGAGAATAAACTCATACTTTTAAAATAAATATTTATCTATTCTGAACTCACTAACATCCTCAAATAAATCACAGAGGAACTAAAACAAACAGTAGTTACTTAATATGTTTAATAACTACTGAATTTTTAAGAGTAATTTTAAGAATGAAAATAACAAAGAGAGTTTCAGCTACAACTGCTTAAATAAACGCAATTATATCAAAATAATGAATATTTTTCCAGAACAATGTCATAGCTGCAAAGAACAGTCCCATCAGAGAATAGTTAAGAGGTAATACTATAAACTAAACCTAAAAAATCATTAAACTGTTCTATGATATTATTCTTAAAGAAAATTTTATCCCACGGTAGTTCCTATAGGTAACTTTATTTTCAAAAAAATAAAGTTATATATAATACTTATTAAATCAGCTTTAAATACCGATCGCTGGATGGCTGGGTATAAGCACATTTGTCTATCTATTTACGTTTTTCATTGATTAGGAATGCTGAAATGGTAAATGAAAACATACAGTTAAAAATAAACATGAAATATATATTTTGTATTATCATATTCTTAATATTTTAAGTAGTAAAAAGATCAGATGGACAAATTATTAAATCAAAAGAATGGTTATTTTCATTTTAAAACACACAAATCCAGGTTACAAAAAATTAAGTAACACTACATATTTTTAAAAATGTTTATTTGAAATACAATTTAGAAATAATTAAGTTTTTTTTTTTTAAATAGGTAGAAATCTTTGAGCTGATGAAAAGAGAAGGCACTTGAAACATGTCTAACGATGATATTTACACTCCTTGCTTTATCATCAGCTATAAAGACAGGCTTGGCGATAGTTGGGACAGGTAAACAAAACAGATCTTTTATTTCTGAATAACATGTTTAAAGACAGAAAAATTTAAACAAGTTATACTTTCAAAGTAATTTTCAATTGGTGATATCATTAATAAATGAAATAGAAGAACTTGTTCTACAGAAAAACAAATGAATGTTATACATCAACTTCAATTCCAAAGTAACATAGAAATAGAATTTGAAAACAATAAATTCAAATAATACGGCCAATTAGAAAATTAAAGATTGCATTTTTTGTTTAGACTTAATTAAATTAAATTAGTTCAAAGCTTATATTAGTCTTTAAAAAAATGAAACTTAACTACAAATAAACAGATATTTGAGTTTGATATGCATCATCAGATTACAAAGAATTAATTAAACAATTTTTATTTGGTAACAATTTTATAAAGAAAAAATGTTTGCCATAAATTATGGACTTGCAAATACATAAGTAGCTACCATTAAAATATTTCCTCCAATACCACATCTTCCTCCAATCGGATAACTAAAATTAATCCCTAAAGCCCATATCACAATAATATTTATACGGATACAGACCTAACTATAGATTTCATTTTCTTAGTAAAATCTATATTTTTTTATTTCAAATTTTAAGAACCATTACAATAATTTTGGAAGATTATAAAATAAATGGACAGGTTATACTAGTCTTCAGGACAGGTGATACTTAATAAATCAAAAGAAGTTAGTGAAGAAAGCACTCTCCTACTCTTTTCTCATTATACGTCAAAGACCTTCAACCCGATTCCATCCATCATTCACAATACCACTTATTTCCTGACGATCTCCAAATCTATCTTCCTTTTTATCCTACTGAGATGCTTGAGGTGATCTGAAGACTACAAGAAGACATAAACAGTATTACTACTTGGGCAACGATTAATGATTTAAAGTTGAACGTTGAGAAGGCTAAAGACATTCTCATTGGTTCCAAGCATCTTATTAATTCCATTCCATACTACCCCCTACTCTAACTCAATGGACTACCTACTCATTTCCATATTTCTGTCAGAAATCTCATAGTAATTTTCGATCAATACCTGTCCTGGAATAATCATGTCTCCCAAATTATCCGAAAATCTATTCCTATCCTAAAACAGTTCATGAGATTTCATTATTCTATGCCTCTAAAAACCGCAAACTCCTCAGTTCGATTATGGCTGCCTTTTATATGGTGGGCTTGAGATCAGAATGAAAAGTTAATGAATTGTTTCATTCAATTCATCTTTGGAGTCCATGCTGAGTTGAAATGTCTCTATCCAGATTTCCAGTGGCAATATTCCCTAGGTTTATTCCTTTTCCGAACTTTTACAACCAAAAAATCATCTTACCTTCTTGATTTGTTTACTCCTTGTTCCTCTGTTCATTCCTTTAACATACGATCCCAGTCCATAAACCTGTTTGTTTCCTCTCATAGAACAGTTTCCTTTAAGAAATCCTTTATCGTGCGTGCTACCTTTTTTTTTGGATTCCCTATCTATCTCAATACGAAAATCCTCTTCCTTATCTCATTTAAACAACATTTATTCTTCTACCTCCTTAACAATCAATATTCCGCATACATGTAAGAATAAAATTTCGTATTAAAGAGCTGTCACTCTCATTTGACTGTTATGTTACTGTTATTACATCTCATCAATATTGTCAATTAGAACAAATATGGGAACACAATAATTTATATTTATGTACAAATCAATATGTTATGTTAGCTAAATTTTTTCTTATTTTTTTTATAATGCCAGACAATTTTCATCTTTTTGTTCATTATTCATTAGTCCTATTATTCTAAGGGGACTAAATATCCCAAAATAAAATTTATTTTTCTTTCTTTTAAAGAAAGCTAATTTTCCCAAATTACAAACACATTAATTCATAGATCAAATAATTTAAATGAAGATATTGAAAATGTTATGATTTTCAGACTAGGGATAAGTTGCAAGTAATGAGTTAGTTTATAAATAATTTATATCAGTTACAGTTATATAAGTTTATATGAGCAACATTAATTAGAATTAGAATGGCTTAAAATGTCAAGTATATATAAATGCACCAATTTAATAAAAGTAAAAAAAAAACAAAAAAAAGAAACCAATGAAATTATTTAACCATACCAACCTCATTAACCATTGTATTATTTTTTTTATCCTATGCCTTGACTTTCAGCTTCCTTTATTAATCTTCTAGCAACCCAGCATATACCTGATATTATTTATTCAATTGATTTAGTAATATAAAAAAATATATAATCTTAATATTTATGCTTTTAGGAATATGGCTGATACCAATGTTAATTGCTGGCCTAGCTTACTATCGATATGACAAACTTGACCCTGAATCACGACTCATCAACACTAGACAGCTTCTACCTGAATACGATTTTGTAATTATTGGTGGAGGTTCAGCTGGAGCAGTAATAGCAAATCGTCTTTCTGAAATTGGTCATTGGAAAATATTACTGCTTGAAGCAGGGCCAGATGAAAATGAAATATCTGATGTACCTTCATTGGCAGCTTATTTACAGCTTTCTAATATTGACTGGCAATACAAAACAGAAAGAACTGGTAAGAGAAGCAATGTTAAGATATCATTGAGATGGTTAATTTTTTACTAGTAATGAAAGCAATTTTTTCATTAAGAATGATTAAGTTCATTATTTCTTTATAATTGATTATCAAAATAAAATAAACAATTGAATATAAAATTAAATTTTATAAAGTTTGATGAGAAATTTAAGTTATTAAATTAAAAACCTTTTTCATTTCTAGATGTATTTCTTCTTTTTATTTATGTATAACATGTTTTAAGAAAAGGAATCATATGTTTTTTAGGAAGGTCATGCTTGGCTATGAAGCAAGGTAGATGTAATTGGCCTCGAGGAAAAGTTCTAGGAGGTTCAAGTGTTTTAAATTACATGTTATATGTCAGGGGAAACAAACATGATTACGATAGTTGGGAAGAACAAGGCAACGAAGGTTGGGGATATTCCAAAGTAAGATTTAAATTTTAAGAACAATGTAATTGAATAAGTAATAAAACTTCAATGATTATTAAGTATTTAATTATTTACTATTGTTGTTTCCGCCTACCTTTTCCAGCAATTATAGGAAATAATACTAACTGAAACAAATCAAGGTTTAGTCTAAATAATTAATTTTTAATATTTAACAACATACTAACAATGCTCAAAGGTTTATTGGAAATTGCCTTTTGTATCTGTTCTATAAATAACTTCAATCAATAACTTCTTCAAAATCAAGCCATTGGTGGAAAAATTTAAGAAGTTATTTCATTAATTGAAATGTATTCTTACTTTTTTAATTTTTATGAGAATCGCCTAGCAAATATTGTCATATTATTGTACCTCAATTTCTGAAATATTCACTTTTACTGCAGTAATTAGTTATTGTGTTGGGCTTGTTTGTCAGTATATTATGATTGTTTGTAATGACTTGATCCTACTGTAGCTTGATGTGAAATCTGTCAATAACAGTTTGAAGCTGTAAGTTCAATAAAGGTAGGAGCCATCCACAACTTTAATTTCATGGTCAATACTAGGTAGACAATCTAAGCCATATTATTTTACATCAGCAGATATTTATTAGAAAGATATTTAATAATATCATATAATAACATAAAACAAACAGATATGCAATTGACTATAATACTGTTCTGCCCTAATGAAAAAATTGGCAAATAGCTTTAGTATGTACCATACTATGAAAACAATAGATCTTTGAACTGATGAAATGTTCCTGAATGGCTAGAAAAAATATATGGTTTTGAGGAATTAATATTAAACCACATAAGCACATGCGAGATGTACTCACATTTAATTCGATCATAGGAAAAGAATGAAAAATCTTCAAAGTAGATTCTTAGATTACCATGTGTCACCATAGTGTTATTATCTGATAATGCGAAATGACTAACTTTTTAAAATAAACCATATTAAAGGTACTTTAGAGGAAGACATATATGAACATTAGGCATTTAAGCCCTGTAAAGTTAAATCAACGGGGATAAGACTTAAATGATATTAAAGACCACCTAATTATACAATGATACACCGAGTTAAATCAAAATCGTTAGAGCCGTTTTTGAGAAAATTGTAAAAATGTGTTTCAGCGTTCATATAAAGTGGCACTTCCGATTAGCCGATTTTAACAAAAAAATTGCTGTCACATTCGGCCCATATATAAACCTTAAATACTTAATATCAGTTTCGTACTACTTTTCGTTTATGAGCTAGACTGTTAACAGACACACACAGACCATTTTGTGACACTTGGTTATTTGGACTCAGGGGACCTCAAAACATGTATTTCCATTGAAAACTGATATTAAAAAATTTTCACGATCGCAATACTCACCCTTACTATATATTACATATATACATAAGTGAAAGTAAAAAGAAGACACACAATTTTCAAATATAGATTCTCTTAAATTGAAATTATTCTATATTTGCTTAACTTTATCTATATTTTAAGTGTTTATATTATGATTTGATTAAACAAGAATATGATGATATTAAGGATGGGCTCCCGCCACCCCCCCCCCAAGATCAATGGAGCAAGAACCTACCCCCTCCCCTCCCAAAATATTCCATTGCACATTTTCTTAAAAACAGAGCAAGGGAAAGTAGAATTAGAAAAATCATATATCATACATTGCGACACTTACTGCGGTCTGTTTTGCAGCTATTTTCTTTTTTTCTACGTTTCCCTTATTCTGAAATTTTTCATTCTGAAAATTCATAACCCCTTTAAAATGAGCCCCTCTCAAAAGTTTAAAAACCCTTTAAAATATGACTCCCCCAAAATTTTTGTTGGCACAACTTGCGCCATGAAACCCCCTTCTGGGCACCCCTGAAACCAAATCAAACCAATGGGTTTCCATGGAATTTTAATTACAGGAAAAAAACTAGCAATAATTGATATTGCTACTATTTTTAATGAGTTTATTTTGGATTATAGGTTCTACGATATTTCAAGAAATCAGAAGATAATAGAAACAATTATTTAATAGGAAAATACCATTCTCGCGGAGGATATTTGACTGTTCAAGAGGCACCATGGCGAACACCCCTTGTACTTGCTTTTATTCAATCTGGCGAAGAAATGGGTTATCCGAATCGAGATATAAACGGAGAATACCAAACAGGATTCATGATAGCACAAGTAATAAATATTTATACATATATTTAGTAATTATAAGGATCTTAATTTCATAATAATTTGGTTTTATCTTAAAAATCTAATCTGTAAAGCTATTATATTATTACCAAATGATAAAAATACATTAATGTAACTAACATAATGAAATAAATTTTATTTATTTATTAACAAAAGTAAAGTAAAAGGCTCTTAATTTGGACTTGGAAATCATCCCATTTATATGTGCTTTTATTGAATGCCATAAATAATAGTTACATAGTTCTGCTGGCACTCTATATGCACCATTATACGTATTATATCCAATTACAAATATTTCATGTTTGATACATCTTGAACAAGAGGTATTTAAATTTGTTTGTGTGTGTGTATATATATATATATATATATATATATACTACACAGTATAAATTGTCAGAAAATTTAGTAAGTCAGTAATACAACATAGCTGATTCACAATTGTGAGTTTGTGTGTTGAGAGTCGTAATAAGAAAATAAAAGTTTAGATAATCTCTTACTTACATAAACTTTTTCACAATAAATTTCAAAGAACAATATCATACCTGAAATTAGAAAAAAAAAAGAATTAATAAACAAATATACATGTTTTTTATGACACAAACATTATAAAATATAACACAATTTATATTATTTCCTACCTTTGTGGTAATACATCTAAAATAACCGTATATTATATAATAATATAGAAATGGTCCAAATAACACATAACACATACAAGAGAGTATGGAAATGCTTCAACTTAGTTTAACATTTTATTTTTCGTAAATAATATGAAATAAACTAAACTTTGAAAATTGTTAAGAAAAAACAATCAATAGCCTTCACAACTAAATATTTCATTTGCAATAGTATTCGGATATTGTATGATATATGCAGTTAAGATTTAGTTTATGATTCTACATTAATGTAGACATCAACCGTGGATTTTATTTTTTAACTTCTAGATATCAAACAAAAGTGAAAAGAAAAAAAAAAATAGATAAAATGTTTCCACTAAGAAAACATATTTTTTTTTTTAAAGAATAACTTCTGAATGGTTGGAAAATTATTCAGTCTAAATATAATCAACATTGAATTTAATGTATTAAGATTATCATTTGAGAAACATAAGCTGCACATTAATTCTTCATGATTTTTCGATTCAATGAAACAGAAAATATACATGATAGTTTAAAAATAATGTAGGTCTTTCAAGCTATAGAAAAGGATTAATAAGTAGGGAGTATAGAGAAGTATAGCAAATCTTTTCTAATGCATATAATGCTCTCAAATGTACTTTTCGATAAGCACACCACATTTGAAGAAAAAGAACTAGGTAATTATCAGGCCAGATTTAGAAAGAGCTTAACTATGGACCACCTTTTTTCAGCGAGAGTTATTTTACAGAAATACCTTGAACATAAAATGATTACACATCACCTTTTTATTGACTTTAAGGTGGCATACGATAGTTTGGATAGGGAGAAATTATATAGGGAGATGGAAGATTTAAACATTCCGAGGAAACTAATAAGTCTTGTCAAGATAACAATAGAGAATTGTCCAAGAATAGAGTACATGTTGGAACATACATCTCAGAATCTTCTGGAATTAACAACGGCATTAGGCAGGAGGATGCATTTGCCTGGAAATGCCTTCTTAATCTCTGGAATTTGATAGAATTGTAAGATCTTCAGGAATTAAAACTTCTCGGACAATATTTATAAGCTTGGCTCAGCTTCAAAATTATAAAGATTACATTGTTCTCACAGCCAGATCAGTGTGCACCTTAAAAGAGGTCTTTTTGACTTAGGAGAAGCCTGCAAAGGAGCTGGGACTTGCTATTAACAGACAGAAAACAAAATAAATGTGTGCTGGTGGAGGGAGGATCCAAGAAATATAGGATCCTATAAGTTCCACTATGTGGAATCGTTCAATTATCTATGCATATAACTTAGTTTGAGTAATGACCTCAATCTAGAAATCGGAAGAATTACTGTGGTAACTGATGCTTCTTCAGCCTATTAAAACATCTACGAAGTAGGTATATGGGCAGTAAAACAAGAATTCATCTTTACAAGACTCTGAGAAACCCAATCCTGACCTATGGCTCAGAAATATGAGCTATCACTAAGACAGATGAACAGAATAGCTGCATCACATGACTGTGCCAACTGGCAGAGGCTTCAAGACGCGCCCCAGCCCCATTGATGAGTTGTCATGCCACCTATGACAAGTTGAGGTTATTTTAATGAGCAAAATAATCCCTACTAAGCAAATCAGTATCCAATGCTGGTAAGTTTCTCTAACTGGAATACAAATGAATCATTGAATTATGGATTTTAAGCTAGATTAAATAAATTAAGCTATACATTTATTCTTGCTACACCAAAAATGGGACTCTAGAATTTTTATATATACTCAATATGATGAGTTCAGATAATTAAGAACATTTTCACTGTTTGGTGTACAAATTCTGTCTTGAAAATTCAAATCATAAAAGTAATGGTCAGCGATTTATTCAGTGTTGTTTTCTTAAAGGTAACTGGTTATAGCATAGACCTAGTTACCCCATAGATCTATTTATTGGCCACATCTTAAATTTACAATGACAATTTCATGCCAAAATCTGCAAAGGTTATGCTAAAATATTAAAGAAGTAAAAATTGTGCCTAAAGCATTCTGGAGATTCACTCCAACACTTACTGACTAAATTAAAATACTTTGAAATAATTTCCATTCCCCTAGAAGAATTCTAAGGCTCTATTAAGTCAGTCAGAAATCGCTGATTTCTTTCAGGAACAATAGAATAAATAATATACGAATTCCAAGAAATTATATGAATGAAATAAACATACAAGTATATTTATTTTCATTATAAAAACATATTTGGCTAATTTAACGAATTAAATTTGTTTAAAATTAATTTTTACAACAAAAAAAATATGGAATAAAGTTGTTAATAATTTGTGTGGGTGGAACCAACTACTGAACAAAATTAATGAATCACCTCACAATTTGTGTCTTTAAGCTGTTTTAGAGCTTTAATTTAATTTAAGATTTTTCCAGATAAGTCAGCATCAATGAAAATACATTTATATATAATTAATTCACATAAATGATAAACACTAAAACATCTATTAAAATTAACTTATCAGCTCAGAATACAGCCTGTGCCACGATTGGCAACAATCACTTACATATAATTGATACTTAAATGAGGTTATTAATGAAATAAACCTGAAAGAGGTTATTAACCAGTTTCTGCAGAGTATTGTCAAACTCTTCAATAACAGCTGTTTTTAACTTTTCATATATAATAGGAATGGAGTTATGGTTCCTTACATACAACTTAAAACTCCCACATGTTTTATCGGATTATGATATAAAATTTGTTAACTCCAGGTATAGATACCAACCACCTAAAGGAATTTAACTACACTCTGAGAACTGTGTTATTGTGTATTTTCAAATACATGTAAAACAGGATCCCACACAGGTCATCCATTTGGGTGATTTTTTGAACTCTGGTGAAAAGAGAACCATAAAAAGAGTGTTAGACAATTAGACCTTCAATAACCCTTCTCACTGTAAGAATTATAATCTTGAAAATTCAAGACTTCTGACTTTATTTCTGTCACAAAATGATGCTAAGGTTTGAATTTGAATAAACTTGTCATCCATATAACCGATAAAGCTCAATTGTTTTTTATTTTCTCATCTAAAGTGTTACGCTATCAATTGAAAGCATCAGAGAGTCTAACAATAAACACAGAGCCCCAAGCACAAACTATATACATTAATATACTATAAGCACTCTTACAGAATAGTAATAACTTGGATTCTTGTTCAATGAAATGTTTCATACAATACTGCTGTCAGTAAAGGACCAAATTAAGACTGGTAGTGAAAAAATCTTCTGATAATACTGACATTTTAGTGAATAAAAGGATTAAAAAAAGAAAAAACTTTCAATACACTTTTAAAAACCATACATTTAAAGTAATTGTTACATAAAGTAATACGTTAATTTTTTTTAATCCAGCAGTTTATATCTGTTAAAATGCATGTTGTTTTCCTAGATAGTACAATGATTGTTATGAGAAGTTTCTTTAAGTACAATCAAATCAAGCAAAAAATAATGTTATTTTTAAAACATCTGCCGACTGCAGTCAAATACTATGAAAGGACTATAATCTCGTTGAAAGAGGTTTAATGGTTAAATCAGTCAGAAACCAATAATTGTATATGGTATTGCAAAAAATACAAGCCATCCTTATTTTCCACTTAATTTATTTAATAGAAAAAAACTTGGAAGTGCAAGCAACAATAAATTAGCAATACTCTTTTTAGTTAGAATTATAATGTAAATTAATTATTTCTGCTATGTCAGAACAGGTTTTCAAATTTTCATTGTTATATTTTATTAAATAGAGACTTGTTATTGTTATGTGTATCACATATTAACATTAATAATTCAAATATATTCTCACACGGTTTTTGCCATTCTGATTTGGCCCTGAACAAAATATTATTCAAATAAATATATGATCCACTTATTACTATAAAAAATGCATCCCAATCTAATGCAAAGGAATGAAGCAGAGTTTGAAATAAAACTTTAACTTTTATTTTTAATCAGTTTCACTAATACTGGAATCTTTATTTTCTATTTCTTTTCCGTTATCTCGGAACTAATACTTTTTTCCTAGAAATTTTTCAATATATGAATTATGATATATGATAACTAGGTTAAGTTCAACATTAATTTCAACTAAATGCTAAATCAAAGGACTCTTATAACTGAATATTTTTTGATTTTATACAAATGCTGATGGAGTTACAAAAACTATGTGGCCCATTTTAAACTTTAATCTAAAGCTGAAGTAGTGGTTATTATAGTGTCCCAGTGATAGGAAGCTTCTGAATTGGCTGTATCAGCAAATGAAGCTTTCAATAGTAATTTTATAGTTTGTATTACAAAAATATTAAATAATTGCATGAGCCCAACGAGGACCCTTGGAAAACCCATTAAAGATATTATCATTTTTTGATTAGGAGTCAAACATAGTTGACTGTTAAATACATAGTTGTGTATTAAATGGACATAATACTATGGAATGTATGATGAAGGTTAAAGTTGTGAGAGATGTCAACTACAATTTCAACTATAGCTATTCAATGTATTACAGTGATAGAATGTTTACAAAAAAAAAAACATGTCAAAGTCAAATGGTATTGGTTAATGTGGTACAGTTATAGAAAAAAAAATCTTATTTTAATAATTTTATTTTTAGAAACATAAAATATGGTTTATTTATAAACTATTTTTCACTTAATATTCTTAAAATACAGTGACTCCTAAAACTATTAATATAATTGTAGACTAATGAAAATGACATATATGATGAAAAATAAAGCTAAGTTATATAACATTTTATAAATAGATCTGGACTGAAAACTAGCCATTTTTCAAAAATGTTAGGTTTAATTTCTTTAAAAACCATGAAAATATATATTTTATCATATCAACAGTTTTGCAATATACAACAGATTATCATGTGAATCATTGAGGATATATTCCCATTCTCTGTTAGCAGAGTTTAAAGTTCATTACAGCTGGTAACTTACATCATCTACCTTGCACTCTTTTCTTTAACAAAATGCCAAACATGACCTATTATTCTCAGTTTAGATCCCTAGAGATACCGCATAACTCTTTCACGGTTATTGTCCTTATGCAATGTCTTAATTTATTTTTATATTAGTATTCAGACCCATAGTAATGTTTTGTTAATAGTTTATTCTGTTATTGACTCAAAAATTCTTATTTCTACTTTTTATTTGTTCTTTAACTAAAATTTGACAGATAACTGGTGCAATGGATCGAGTTGTTATTATATTACTCAAGAAAATGAATTAATTTGACCTAATATGTCGAATACTATCATAATATTTATTTTCACAGGGTACAATCAGAAGGGGTAGTAGATGCAGTACAACGAAGGCCTTTTTACGACCTGTTAGATTACGTAAAAATTTGCACATAGCAATGAAAGCTCATACAACAAAAATTTTGATAGATGGAAACAAACGTGCTTATGGAGTCCAGTTTATTCGAGATGGAATAAGACAAGCAGCATTAGTCAGGAAAGAAGTAAATATAAATCCTTGATAAATGTTTAAAAAACTACTCCTGACACTAGAATAAGAATACTGTGTCAATTAGTAAAATATTCAAAGCTCATAAGTCAAACTTGAAAAAACATTTTCATAATAATCCTATATGAGTTTCTATGCTAGAACATAAAAAAATGATTTTTGGCAGGTCTAATATAAAACCAAAGTAGATCTTATAGAAGCTTTATTTTAAACACTAGAAAAAAATACTTCAATAGACATTTTAAAACAAGAGGGCCAAATATGTATTATTCATATTGGGAAGCTTTAAAAACATTAAGAATTGTAGTTTCTTTAAATTAAAAAAAATATTTTGTTGTATATAAAAATTAAAGGTAATCCCACAAAATGAATAGAAATTATAGCTGAAACAGATATAAGCAATAATACAACATTTTGACTGCTGAATATTGCTAATACATTATTTTAATTATAATGGTTGATTATTAAAAAATCTCTAAACTCATAAATAGAGGAAATATCTTATTAAAAATAATAATAATAAAATCAAAATATCCCAGTTATTAAATCCTTTCAACAAAAACCTTATGGCAGTTTTTATATCACCGTAACATTGAAAATAATTTTTTTGTCGAGTTAGATCTTAACTTCTTTTTCTTTAACAAAAGTTTTGGGGCTTATGAGTCCAAAAGCAGCTTTTTCAAGACAAATTTTTAAGGTATAGGATACTCTCCCATTTTACTAAAAAATTATACCAAATATTAAAATAACAACCTGAATATCTGCCTATTTGTTATTTTTATTAATTATATGTTTTCCTGGAGTGTTTAATCTTAACGATACCCCTGATGCTTCAGCAACACCCCATCAATATTAACATAATCTTCAGCCCAACAAATTTTTTTTCACATAAGATTTTTACGTGTCTTTTAGTTGCTAGAAATTTGTAAGCCTTCATGGATAATCTTCAACTTTGAGTAAATTAAAACTTAACCCAAATAACAAATATTAAGTCAAGGAAAATTTGCTATTTTTCTAAAAAAAAAACAAACTAATAGTTCTTTCTTTAAATCAGCAAAAGAATAGCCACAATGTCATAAGCTGTAGAAACAAAATTAACATATTAAACGAAAATTATCTGCCATACTGAAATCAGCATGCCTATCTAAGTTTAAAACAGTAGACAAATTTAAATGAATAGTTATCACATTAAATTGTGTTCCAAGTTTAATCACTCAAAAAGGTTTAATCAGGAAATAATATTTAAAAAAAAAGAAAGGACCAATCAAAAGAAATAAAAAGCAACACAAAATATATTCAAAATATATATTATGAAATATGTTAATAAATATAATACTACAATATATTTTAACCATTGTACAATACTAAAGATAATGTGAAATCAACACATTATAAATATAACCTTACCATAGTATAATACTTAAATCAGTCCTAAAGTTAAAGACTTTTTTAAGTAATACCTTAATTTTATGTATATGAAATTGTTTGACTGTTAATCATAGGTAAACTAAATTTTATACTACTATTAGAACAACAAAACAGAAAGAATGTAGCACTATATTAATTGATGAATGCAATACTACAGCAAAAAAAATATTACATACAAGTTTTTAATAGACTATTTAATTTCAGATGTATTACAATCATAATATCATAATAATAAAAAAATGCTATAAATAAAGATCAATACATCTTTTTCATGATATAATTAGTGAATGTAAAAATCAGAAGCCATTAAGTACCAGCAAGTTTAGTTCAATTAGCAGTTAAATTTAAAAGCAATAATATAATATTTGTTTTGAAACAGGTTATATTGGCAGCAGGAGCTATTAATTCACCACAGTTATTAATGCTATCAGGGGTCGGACCTGGAGAACATCTTCATAGTTTTGGTATTCCAGTAATTAAAGACTTACCAGTAGGGAACAACCTCCAAGATCATGTTGGAATGGCTGGTTTAACTTTTGTAATTGATAAGCCAGTTGCTATAGTTCAAGACAGGTTAAGGGTAAGAAGGAGTTCTAACAATAAAATATACATTAAAGAGAAATTACTAAAATTTAATAAATTATGAAACAAAGATGAACTAAATTTTGATGGAAAAATTATAAAGGAGGATATATGCTTTTCATATTATTTATTTATCTTCTTATTTTTCTTTTTTTTATTAGGAAGCTTACGTTTATAATTTTTTCATATTTAAGGCAGTAAAACTTCCAATTTTCTTCATATTTTTTTAATTATGTTTGTTGTCTCTTACGTTTCAGGACAATTTTCCCATCATCAGAGCAATTTTTATCTTTACTTTCTTTTTTTTATGTGGCACCATTTGTCAAAAATTAAATATTAGTCACATTTTTTAAAAACTGTTTTTTTATTATTACACATATTCATTGATACACTAATCAACAATGGAAGTTTTATTGCCTTAAATATGAAAAAATATTATTTATGTTTCTACTAAAAATTAGTTTTTTTCTGTATCTGATTATACAAAAGAATACTAAGGCAAGTAACGGGTTACGGTCAAAGTTAAGGAAGCTGATTGATACAAATAGGTGTATCAACTACACTGGCTACAGATATCAAATATGGGCATGATATATGGATTATGGTCATAGTAAAAACTAGTTACGTTTATGTGAGCATTAAACAGATTCTTATGTAATTTTTTTTTATTATTTTAACAATTATTATTTATACATATCGGCCTTTGGAGGTTATTAAAAATTAATTTTTGTATATCAAGTTCCAGAAAACTGAAACTACATAATAGTATAATATATATTTTTTTATAAAACTTCAACACGTTGCTTTGGCTTGTCCACCATCTATGTTATTAAAAATATTACACTCTTGCTTGCTTAGAAAGCATACTTTATTATGATTTTGGAATTTTAAAATAAACTCAGGTTTATCACTATTAAAATAAGAGGAGGATGAGACCAAAAATTAAATGCATTTCTTCCATCAAAATACTGACAACTGAACTTAACAAGACAATATATTTTTCAGTTATATGAAAGTTTGTAGCTGATATTGCGTCAGTAATTATATTACAGATATTTAAATGCTGATGTAAAAAACCTCTATACAATTGAATATATTATCTCTAAACTTGCGATGTTGATATTAAATGATAGATAATTTCTAAACACTCATTACTAAATCAAATTTTTACTTTTGAAATGCCTATTATGAGCAATAAAACGTCTATTTTCTAGCAGGTTCTCTTCTTCCAAAGACAAACTGGGGAATTGGTCATCTCTCAAGCTTTCCTGTGCCCCTTGTCTTTTGAGCTAACTTTGTTCTTTAAGTATTAATTATAATAAAAGAAAGTCAATACTAGATATGTTTAGGGTTTGAAAAATATCCATATTTAAAATCCATAATCAAAAATTGATACTAAATTTCTGTTTTTACTTGTCTTTGAAATCTAGATTGAAAATTAATTTCATGTGGATGCAGCTGATTAATAGGTCCCTTTTTGAGTAAATAATCTTGCTTTCATAGATTTAATCATATGATTTAATTTTTAAAAAAAGATTGTTTAAGCAAAATATTATGGATTCAATAAAATATTAATAAAAATAATAGTGAACTCGTAAAGCAATATTTCTATTTTGTGTCTGAAAACAAATCATTAGAACAGAGATATGATTTTCAGTTAGGTCTAATATGATTATAGCTATTCGAATAAATAATTAGTAAACCTGGTAAGAAATCTGAAATAAAGATACTATATACCAGCAAGTCTTTGAGACTTAATTATCACCCACCAAAAATAGATTTGGTAGACCTTGCAAAAGATAAAAATATATTATGTTACAGATATATAAATTCTGACTAATTATAAATAATTAATAACGGTCCAGGTGCTTTCTTTACAGAACATTATCATAAATACATGCTCAACCAATCAATAATGAAAATATTTTAAAATTAAAAATTATTTGCATTTTTTCCTTAGGCAGTACCAGTAACAATGGAGTATGTAATAAGAGAAAAAGGGCCAATGACAACACTAGGAGGTGTCGAAGGACTTGCTTTCCTAAATACAAGATATGCAAACAGAAGTAAAGACCATCCTGATATACAATTTCATATGGCCCCAGCATCAATAAATTCTGATGCAGGTGTAAGAGTGAGAAAAATCTTGGGTTTAACAGATTATATATATGATACTATGTTCCGGCCTATTACCAACAGAGATTCATGGACTATAATGCCTCTGTTACTTAGGCCCAAGTCAAGAGGATGGGTGAGATTACGATCTCGAAATCCATTCGTATATCCTATAATTAACCCAAACTACTTCCAACATCCCCATGATATTATAACTTTAATTGAAGGAGTAAAACTGGCATTAAGGGTGAGTTGTAAAAAATTAACAGTTTATGAACAAATTATTAAAACAAGAATTATATATGTTACTTTAATCTAAATAATACATACCACCAAGAATGCATGCACTAAGGGTATACTAAATGGTCTTAGTACAAATGAGCTAAAAATAGTAAATAGTTTTAACTCATTAGGTAGATTTTTTTTTTTTTTTTATAAAGGATGGTAACTTTCCATAACCAGAATGTATGGAAGAAAATAATTTTCCTTACATATATTAATTCACATTCAAAAACTATGCCCTAAACATATTTTATTAGTCCATTTTAAATATAGAGTTTATTAGTAGAATTCTCTAAATTTATTATGTTTACTCATGTCACTGCACTTAATTTAAAAGTCATTAAAGTATAAAACTACTGAAAATGATTCATAAGTACATAATTTAAGATAGTGACATGAAAAAATATTATTAAAAAATAAAGCATTGTAATCAGAAAGGAAGATACTTTGTGAGCTAACACCTTATTTTTACAAGATACATTATTATTCATGATACCTTGTTACATAAAAAGGAACAATTGGGTCCAAAGTCTAGAATAGTTGATCATTATAGCTTAAACATATAATGTTCATCTTATTTATAAAATTAATAAACCAAATTTTATCTAACGGGTTCTAAGTCTTTAAACTTGAACATTGGCAGGTGGTGGTCATTACAGTAAATATAACTACACTGAAATTACCATTATGAGATTTCACCATTAAAATTTAAATAATTTATATTTTTTCTGTGAAAGTAGTAAAAATAATATCAGGAGTTGATCAGGGGGTGCGGTCAAATAAATACTAAATTTTAAAAAATAGTATTTTTAATTATTACGCCGACGTTTCGACTCACCTTGCAGGTCTTCATCAGGGTTACAAAAGATACAAAATATAAAAGGTAAATAGTGAAAATAAAATAAATAAATTATAAGTAGATATTAAATAAGAAACAGTTGTCTGATAAAGAAATGTTATTATTTCTTTAACAGACAACTGTTTCTTATTTAATACCTACTTATAATTCATTTTATTTTCACCATGTACCTTTTATATTTTGTGTCTTTTGTAGCCCTGATGAAGACCTGCAAGGTCTGTTGAAACGTCGGCGTAATAATTAAAATTTAGTATTTATTTGACCGCATCCCCCGATCAACTCCTTCTTATATTATATCACGGTTAACCATCTCTACATATTAATTAGTTAACGTTTTGGAGATGTTTCTCCATTCTTAAAACTTGCTTGATGTCTCAGTTTCATAACTTTACAATAAAATAACATTGCACTTCTTTCTATTAAGGCCAAAATAATAAAATTATGTCATCAGACATTTGTCCTTAGCACAAAACTTCTTCAATTTTATTACTTTGACATTAGCAAGAAGACATGCAATATTATTTTATTGTAAATTATTAAACTGTGATATCAAACAAGTATTGATAATGGGAATGCAGCTCCAAAATGTTAATTAATAAATATAAATTTTAGGTTATTATTGGAAAAATTGCAAACCACATAGCAGGTAAAGAAAAACCCGCCAACGTTTCGCCAATTCAGGCATCATCAGGACAGAAAAAGAACAGCTAATAGAACAACATTTCATGACAGAATTTGCAAAACGTTGACGGGGTTTTTTTCTTTCCCTGCATTTCAGAGACATGAGGCTGTGTGGTTTGCAATTTTTCCAATTATAATCTAACATGTAAGTTCTGTTTCTTGGTTAGTTGGTTATTATAAATAATAATACTTATTAATAATAAATACATAGTTGCATTGAAAGATTTCATTTATGCTACTTTGACAGGAAAAAAATAATTTAGACTTCCCAGAAAATTAAGAAGAAAAAATAATTTCTATTATTATAATTAGGTGTTCATTATTAAAAGAGGAAATATATCCAATTAATTTATACAGGGATTTCAGCAGATTTGATAATAATTAAATGCATAAATTGATTACTTATGGACGGATTTGAACTGACATAGTGTTTTTCCGATTAATGTACTTACCTATAATACATTATTAATTATTTAAAATGCCAAATAAAAATTTTTAAATGATAATTAATTATTTAGTTTTACTATTCCCTGTTAACAAGATTAAGAACAATTAGTCAAGGAAGGATTAAAAGTTTTCACTTTATAAAAATTAAATGGTTATTTTTCTAGTTAATTGTCAAAGACTGATTCAAAATCTAATGACGGGTCCATAAAATAAAAAAAGTAACTAAAACAGAAATTAATATCTCAATATTTAGATAAAGCAAACTTCCATTAATTAAAAACAAAAAATAATGTAGTTTAGACATTAAGAATAATATCTTGGGATGCTAATGAACTATTTACAGAATGAATTCTGCATATATTTAATAACTGATAATGTATAGAACTCGTAAGGACTCTCGGAACACAAGACTGACCAACAATGAAGTCATCTACACAGGTTTGAGATATGGTAGAGAAGTGAAAAATAGAAAATGATCAATTATATTAAGAACTATTTCTTCATGTTTACAACTTCTCAAAAAGAACTTGAAGAACTAAACAGTTTTAAAATATGTGACCCTTTGATTGAACAGACGGTAAAGATAATTTTTCTAATGCTCAATAACTAAGGATATGTGTTTTATGTGTGAGGGTGAGTGAGTGTATGTGGGTATGACTTTTGAACCATTTAATTATTTAAAATATATGTTACAGTAAAATATAATGAAATAAATGGATTAAAAATCAAATTATTCAAAACAATAACTTAGTTAAGGCATTGAAGATAATTTCAACAGTCAGTATATTCTATTAAATAACAGTGATCTAGAGAACATTCATAAACATTTATAGTAATCCAGTGATAGATATATAGTTGACCGTCGAATTTGTAAGAATGAAAACTGTTCAGGATGTGCAGTGAAAAAATTATGTTTATTGAGTTTGCTGACATTTCAACTCTAACATGTTGGTCATCATCAGGACTAAAAATTAAAAAATACAAAACTTTTCTTATGTAATTTTGCATTTTTTAATTTTTAGCCCTGATGTTGACACAAATTTGGGTCGAAATGTAGGCAAACTCAATAAAAATAATTTTTTTACTGCACATTCTGACCATTTTTCACTTTCAGTTCTAGTAATGAATGGATATTATTCTTAAATTTCAAAAACAAATTATCGGGAAGTCAAAACTACTAAATTTTGTAAGCTTTTCTTCAACAAAATTACTAATTCACCATTGGCACATATATTAATTACAGCTTAAACAATTGTTATAGCCACAAGCTCTTATGCCTCTAATGTAAATTATTTCAATAATTTGATAGTGAAATATTTTGAGCAAAAACTGATAGATCGTTAACATCAACTTAGGTTGATCACAATCAGTTGGAATTACTGAGCGAATCTCATAAGTTCTTTATTTTAAGTTGATTCTGAAAAAAACTTATTTAATAATGGCAAAAATCTATAACAAGATCATGATAAAGTTTGAGCAACAATAAATTATGATAACTATAATATAATAATAATAATGCTTTCCTTGAAATAAACAGGTCAGTGAAGGCAGAGCATTTAAACAATTCAATTCAAGACTGCATACTATACCTATACCTGGCTGTAAATGGTTACCATTTGGTTCGGATAAATATTGGGAATGTGCCATACGTCATTTTACTATGACAATATATCATCCTGTTGGTACATGCAAGATGGGTCCAGCTAATGATCCAACGGCAGTGGTTGATCCTAGACTGAGAGTGTATGGAATTTCTGGTTTAAGAGTAGTAGATGCATCAATCATGCCAACAATAGTCAGTGGAAATACAAATGCCCCTACCATCATGATTGCAGAAAAAGGATCAGATATGATTAAACAAGACTGGCTAAAACCCCACCATAAAAAATAAACAGGATTTAGACAAAGGTAATGCATACAGTAAATAATAATAATAAAAAAACAAAAAAAACAGTATCATTAACACTATAAATAATGATGAACTAATTAATGATATTAATTATCAACATTAATGATGAAATTATTATTGATTTTATAATGAGATTTATAGCTATAAACATTAGTGAATTACCTTTTTAATTACAATAATCAGCAATTTCATAATCACAACTGTTTTTATTCTTTACATATGCTAAAATCTTTAATACTACTATTAGATAAATCGTAGAATATCCTTATTTCCTATGCGTTTTATATTACCTTATCCAAACATTGAAAAATAAGGAATTCTTTTTTTTTATTTTTTTACTAAGAATTTATGTATTGAAAAAAAAAATAATATTTGTTACTTTTGTGCAATGGGCAATAGTGCTAACAAGTTTAAATTAGCAACATGTAATAAACAAAATTTTAAAAAATATAAATTTAACACAGAGACTATGACTATGTAGGTCATTCCTCGTAAATTCAACACAAGGTTTGAACCTCACCATCTCAGATTTTCTTGAAATTCAGCACAGTAGTACTATTGATAATGCAACAAAACCTAGCTACTTTGGCGGTATTCTTCCCAGAAATGTGTGCTTAAGCTCTCTGAGCAATGAAAAATAGGTATAGAAATAGAAAATCATCTTTATTCTGGGACTAGGTCCCTTAAGAATAACAATATTGTTCAAACCGATTGACAATAAATCTGGCCAGATGACCTATTATAATAAAAGTAACTAAAATCTAAGTAATAAAATGAGTTCTATACAGATCTATATATGTTCTTCTGAGTCAGAATGCCCATTTTTATAAACTTAATTTCCTGAACTAAATGGTATAGGAATGAATAGAAAATTAATGGTTTTATTCCTAATTAAAAATAAATAAAAAGATTTTCTTTAAGATCATTGTTCTTACCACAGGTCATTACAAGTTTCCTCCAGTAGGCTGGTGGGCTTCACCTTATGTAAATCTAGCATGTTTGATTGCCTGCCAGCCATCCTGGTTCTGTTTCTGGTATGCTTATTTTTCATATGTGTTTTAATTCAGTAGAAAACAATAAATAAGAATGTGACCTATTGGATATATTCCCTATGACAATGCAATTATGCTTTGTAACAAGTATTATAATGGTTAATTGCAAATATTAAACGTCTTATAACATATTTAATATTGAAAGTTTCATGCCAAGAGAGACCGCATAAGAACTCGGCAATAAGAAAAAACCTTAACGTAAGACCAGAAGGGACTAACATAAAGTTTGAGGTGGTTTGGTCATGTCTTTCAAATAGCAGAGAACCAAGTGGCCAGGATTGCGTTAGAAAGTAAGATTGGTGGAAGGACTCAGAGAATGCCCAGGAAGACTTAAGACTAAAAGGAGACCTTTGATAGAAAAGATATGGATTGGAGGACAAGGCAGCATTTGGCACAGGAACGGGATTTGTGAATTCGGCTTTACAAGAATGCTCCTCACACTGGTTAGTGCTTGTACCTGAAAACTACAAGGGGATATCGACTGCGTCAACAGATGGGCTGAAAGAAATGAGTTAAAGCTGAATGCAGATAAAACTAAGGCTATTCTCGTCGGGTCCAGACATCTCATTAGTTCCCATCCCTACTTTTCTCAACTTTACCTCAATAACCGCCCCATCCATTTTTTTCCTAGATTAAAAAACCTAGGAGTAACCTTTGACCAGAACCTCTCCTGGAATAACCTTATCTCCCAGATTACCCAAAAATCCATAACTGTACTTAAATCCCTAAGATTCCGTGATTGTATTCCTCTAAAAATCAGACAGCTCCTTTAAATTAAAAATTTATTTATGGGTGGTCCCATAATTTAACAATGATAAAGTGGGTAAAGAGCAGCTGAAACTATCCAAGGGAGCTATGGAAACGTGGAACAAATGTTTAAGAGAGGTTTGTGCCCATTATCAGTGGGAACTATCACATTTCCTCCATATATATATATAAATTTAATAAATGTCATAAAATAAATGTATTTTTTTATTATTACATTTGATGTTGTTTACAATTTCAATAATACGAATGTAATACAATAAATATGAATACGAAGATAGGAATTACGAGAAGGCTAATCAATGCCTTATCACAATTATCAGTGTTCAGGTATAAACATTGGCAGATAGCAGTCCGCCTGGCTAATGGACAAGTACCAGCAGTAGAAGAGGATATGATTAAGAAGTTTTATGCAAAAGAAACTGCATTTTCGGGGATGGGAGGGAGTATAATGTAACATTTTTTATTAAAAAAAAAAGAAACCATTGTATAAATCCAACTCTGTAACTGGAAGTACAAGTATTTCTAAACAATTTCTTCTTGAAATTTCTTTTTCTAGGAAGATATATTTTATTTTTAATTACAAGTTTCTTTGTGGACAATTTCTTTCTTGAATAAATGCAAGGAAGAGGTTAAAAATACATAAATAATGATACGAACATAATTTCAGGGACATGGAACATTACAGTATAAAAAAAAGTGATGAATTACAATTAGAAACATTAATAGATGACAAGCATTTCCAAAACTTACCAGGAATTTTTTTTTTTTTTTTTTTAAGAATGGATTGTATGTCGACTGATTCGATTAAAGGCAAAAAAAAAGAGTGAATTTATATTAAAAATATAGAACGGTTTGGATGAATCTTGTAAAACCTAGTTAAGCAATGAAAAAAATGTAAGTTCTGGATAAATCCAAAAGAGCATTAGCTGCTCCAACCAACTAAAGTAGTGACAAAGTCACACTACTACACATTAAAGAAACATTTAAAGGGAGTAAATCTAGAAATTCTCTTACATGTTTTATTCCTTAGATACTATGCATTCGGATTATCATTTTATTTCAATTTATTCAGTCTATATCTTTTGTCTTAAAAATGGCCAGAGTTGTAGAATCAGTTAAAATATACACACTTCAATTCCAAAAAAATCTTATCTTCAAATCTTACAACCTATATAATTTAAGATTAAATTCCAATTAACTTGCCTTCATGGAGTAAAGATAAAAAGAACTATTAAAAAAACATACTAAAAACTGACCAAGCCAACTAAACTTTCAATCATTAATTGATTAAGAGAGTTAATTTGTAGCATTTATCAGATTAAAAATGTTCATCTTTTAATAAACAGTAATCATTGTAATAGACTATACGAAAATAAAATATATCTTATATAAACTCAGATGATTCTTCTATTCCAGAATAAAAGAATTGACGAGGACATATTCCAGTGCTTTTACATCTTAAAGAACAAAGGGTAAGTCAAATTTCGACTCTATATTAATATGATACAACACAATAGTATAAAATAAGAGAAGGTACAATATTTTCAAAAGCATTGTTTTCATTAATTTTTAAATTGTTCTATAAAAATGAAGATTGAATTTTTCTCATTTCAATATTTACATAATGTTTTTGAAGCTAAACCAGATTGCAGTTTTTAAATTTTTCATTTTGTATTTATCATTCATTAAAAATTATCAATACATCCAAATTTAAAGAACCAAAAAACTTTTTAAAAACAAACTTATTTTTAACTTTTTTTTAGGAAGAATTATTTTAATTCTGAAATTTATAAGATATAAAATGGCAAGTAAACTTTAAATTTGAAGATAAGGGAAGAAATCATTGTTTAAAATTTAAATCTATGTAAAAGGGAAATAATGACAAAAGAAGAGATCACTATTTACTAATGTTAATACTTTCAGAACTATTTATGATTCAGATAGATATTATATTAATGAATAGTAGTTACATGAAAAAACATGAAGAGGCACCAAAATAAAAGATGCGACACTCGGGAACATGGAGGTAATTGTTCTTAAAATACTAGAACAAAGATATCTACCAGAAAGGTATTTAAAACTAGAAGATATTTGGTATGTACTGTGAAAAAATGTATCTGTCAATCAAAATACAACACAATGTGATGCACAATATCATTTTGTAAATAAACAGTACAACAACATTAGTTAATGTGATACCAAAGATAGGAAGGTACTTTCAAACCAATTCTTTCAGCATAACTAATTTAGTTCTAGAATAAATATTGGTTGTAATCTTAGGAAATCTTAATATTTGTACAAAACAGAATTTTAATGAAAATATGCTACAAACGAAATTGATGCTACAAATGATGGAAACTTTAATAGACTGGCAGCACCTAAATAAGTGCCATATAAAAATACAATAACAGAAATATCAACTATAAATTTATGATTGTAAATAATAAATGTACAGTTGTAAAAAAATAAATTAAATTATAAAAAATGATGATTGACTAAATTTGTAAATATGTAAAGACATATTATATTCCTAAGCAATTCTACCTCTTTATATTAATTCAATAAATTTATTTTTACTGAATGTTTATTTATATGATCCTTTAGTGTTATGCTACTTCCAAAATATTATTAATAAATACAAAAAACATATCAAAGAGAGACTTTTATTGTTTTCACCTTCTAGATCAGATTTTTGTCAACACTATAGTAGTATCAAGTCAGGATGACATGTAAGCCAAAGTCAAAATCACTACCCTGTACATGGAAAGCCAAAACCAGCCTAGTGTGTTTGTAATTTTATAGATTAGTTCCGGCATTCCTAGACAGCCTGATCTAAATATTATATTAATATAATTTGATCTCCTCTCCTCATTGAATAGATCAGAATTCCATTCAAAATTAGTATTGACAAAAATTAATTACCAAACAAAAGGTTTAAATGATCAAATATATTACTCATCAAAATGAAAATAAAATTTAGATTAGTTCACAAACTAGCAAGAAAAGCCACTATTTGTAGGACCTGTATTAAAATCATTTTAACATGTTGCACCAGGGATTGACTGCACAAAAGATTCCAAATAATGCTCTCAGATGATTCACTAAAGTGTTCTCTAGTTTCTTAAAACCTAACATTTATGGTATACATCTTAGGAATTAAATAATTCTTATAATAAAACATGAATTTAAGATATTTACGGTTTTATGTACTTTTAGAGTATTAATTAAACAGGATTTACACTTGATTATCATCAACTATATTAATTAATTTAACATCATCTTGTTTAATATTAATAATAACATATAAAATAACTAGCATCAGTCTGATAGCAAAAACAAAAGTACATACACTTGATATTACAAAAAATAATATATGTGAATTAAGATCAAAACACACAGAATATTTTAAATCTTTCAAAACAATAAGAATAATTTTGTCGTAGGATATTATAGTAAGGCAATTATGAGTACAGTAAAACAATAACAAGAATTTATTATAACATAAAATGTCTTTCAGAGGTCTTAATATAATGAATGAAAAGGATCAGGAAAAGGCAGAAAAAAATAAAATAAAAATATGATCTCTAGCTGTTTTAATGTGGTTTCACAAACATCCAGATGATTAAATTTAAGAGGTAGCAAAGAGAAATTTTGCTAACTACAACCATTTCAGGAAACTGATTTTTCAAGCATCAAGATTACAAAATTGAAAATGATACAATTGAACACAGATTTAAATAATAGAAAATAAAGAAAACTGTGATGTATTAAGTAAATAATAAATCAAAAACAATAACATGATAAGAATAGTTCAAAAGTAATACTTAATAGAATAACAAACACAATAAATTTTATCACAAATAATAAGAATCACAAATATCTACAGGACTAAAATTGTTTTCAGTAACTATTAAACCATGTCACTGACTACGATCAATACTACTACTTAGAATAAGAAGGAAAACAACTTTGACAGTTCAGATGATAACAATTTTGAAGGTAAATAAGTCATTTGAATGGAATTAAAGGCTATAAATTTCAAATAAAATTCACCTGATACGATCAAAGCTTCATTCGGGCCAACTGTGTAAATGTTTCCCATCACAGATAATAAAGAAACTTATATGATTTAAATTAATATAAATTCAAAGAAACAATCAAACCAAACAATCCGGTATAAACTATCAGTCCCGAATGAACCGTTCAGAAGTGATAGCAACTGTGATTTCGAATACATACCATAGAAGTCGGTCAATTTAGAACTTCAAGGTGATGACGTTTTAAAAATAAATATAAATCAATAAGAAAAAATAAAACATTCAGAGTTTTTGTAATCACTAAAATAATAAGTAAAGGAAAATAGGGTGTTAAATGTTTGATATAAACTATAGGAGTGTTATCAGTAGGACAATCTAAATAAGATCGACTGTTTTACAGTGATTTAATGATGGTGGTAAGCTTTAAATAATTATTAGGTAAAATAAGATTTCAATAGCTAAGTTCTTTGTCAGGTTATCTGCTGAGTTATGCTGAGATGACAAAGTGGATATCGTTATAAACGATTCCCGTTATAGAAATAAATGAAAGTAAGCTTCTCATTTTGAAATCGAGATACCACTCCCACCCAACCTAAACCCAATGCAGATTATCCCAATACAGATTACCCCAATACTCAATCCATAAAAAACAATTCATCGTGTGGCAGGTAGTTGAAGTGAATAAAATCCTGCATCGGAACCATCTAGAGATCCCTGAATTGACTTCGAAGTACCGTCAACCATAGCCGATTTTCCACTTCCACTATAGTCAAGTACTGAAAACCAAAAGTAAAGTGTAGACGAGTGAAAGGTTACTGACGATTAGCTTACACATCTAAGAGATCATTTCAAATGGATTCATCATTGCTGTAATAATTTTAGCAACATTTTTTTTTTATAACTACTTGGAACATGCTTTCCTTTGCTTTATTTCAATTATAGAAAAGAATAGAATTGAAGAATCAACTTTATTATGGGACAAAGTCCCTTAAGAATAACAGTATTGATCATAAAAATTAACATTTAATCTTGCCAAAATGCATATTAAAATAAAAGAATAACTAAACCATATGTAATAAGAGAAGTATTTATATAGCTATACAGATATATATATATAAGAAAAAAGATGAGCAATAAGGTCACAATACTGCAAAATAGTTGCAACAAACAATAAAGTATGAAATGACTAAATGAAATTGGAAAATAACAATAAACTACTAATTTACAAATATTGTTGTTAAACCATTGTAGTAATGAAAAAAATAATAATAAAAAAATAGATCAATATTTACATCTGTATCCTAATATGTTCAAATGAATACTTATAATCGTATTGTAAACATTAGAAAAGTCTTATATAATCTATATCCTGAGATGTATATTGATAGGAAAAAACAAAATAAAATAAAAAAAAGATTATATATATATATATATATATATATATATATATATATATATATATATATAGAGAGAGAGAGAGAGAGGAGTGCATTCAATATTAGTAAATAATTAAATGCATCTCAAAGACTTATAAATAGAAAAAAAAAAGAATTCTCAGTGAAAAGTGACTATAAATCTTTTCCATACTTATAAAAGCAATATATATATATATATATATATTGTTGGATGTGCATGGTTGTTCAGAGCTCAAGATGGTAGGAATATAGAACATCAATATAAATTAGAATCATATTGCTCAAATAATCAGGCAGAAAAATTCGCTGTTTTAAAGGTTACTGAATACATATATGAATACCCTCTACAAACGAATACTCACGTTACTATAAATACAGACAACAAAGTTCTGCTAGACTCTGTTAATAATTGGGACATTCATGATTACTTGACTGACCAAATTAGAAACAAATTGTTAATGATGAGAACTGTAGGGAAAGCAGTGACTCTAAAATGGGTAAAAGCACATTGTGGGATTGAGGGCAATGAACGAGCCGATTGCCTTGCAAAAGAAGCAGCTAAAAGCGATTTGCCGCCATCGTATCATCAAGCTCCTTTATCGTATATTAATATGAATTTAAAGTTGGATTTCATCAAAAGATGGGATCACATATGGGTGACCTCAGCTAAGTCACCAAGCTTACACAGATTTATACCACACATTTCAATTCACAATTACAGACACATTCACAGTAATGACTACAAACTTACGCAAGTACTTACGGAACATGGGAATACAAAACAATATCTTAAAAGATTCAACATTATACAAACAGACTTATGTGATGAAGACGGACAGGTTCAAAATTTTAAACATATAATATATGAATGTAAACGATTTGACAGACAGCGATTTGAGTTAATAAAAAGCATAATTATCAAAAGAGGAAATTGGCCTGAGACGGAACAAAAGTTAGTTACTGAATTCAAGACAGACTTTCTTAGATTTATTAGATCGATCGACTTCGACTTACTAACCAGGGATGGGCAGCGTGGGTGATTTCTTTTTGGCTTTGTTGGATTGACTTTGTGTGTTTAATATTTAATTTTCCGATTTAATTTTTGTGTGTTTATTCTTTGTGTTTTTTTTTGTTAATGTATATAAATTTGAACTAAAAATGTAAATCATGTGAAACTAGAAAAAAAAAACAATTGTAAACAAATGTAATTCATGTAGTATGTCTTAAAGGCATGGAGCATGAAGGAAAATCAAATAAACGATCCTTGTGTGGGGTTACCATGTAGGGGAAAAAAAAAAAAAAAAAAAAAAAAAAAAAATATATATATATATATATATATATATATATATATATATATATATATATATATATATATATAGATAGGGGGCTCGGGTAGCCTTGCGGGCCACCAAGAAAAGCCACACGCTGCCAGAGATTCTCCTCCCCCCCCGGGTATGTGAGGCCCGTCAGCCTACTCGAAGCAACTCACACCGATCATGCGTAGGATTGATGACCCTACCCCGTACTTTAAATCGGGAATGGGGATGTGGTCTAGGAGACCACACTCGCGGTCAAAGATCTTCATGGTCTGTAGCGCCAACCGAAAAAAAAATATTTATATAAATTATGTATGGAGAAAAATGAAATCTTGTTGCATAATAAATAACTACCCAACGTCTGATTGAATTGTACGGAGGAATTGGAATAAGAGGGTTTTAAATATGGATAAGGTTTGTGCATGACGGATTTTGATAGGGATGGAATTTCAAAAAGTGGTGAAGCGGACAATAAAGGAGTGTTGAAATGAGGCATATTTGTGGAAAGGGGTATAAAGGTCAGAAGAAGGAGAACTTGCGGAGAGAGTGTGGATATATGACCTGAACTGAAGGAGATTGTATGCGTAGGACGGAAGATGATTATAGATTATTTGGTAAAGGAATGTGCCTAGGAAATATTGTCTTCTAAAGGAGTGGAAGAGTCAAACTAACTCAGCGCAGTAGTGGGGAACATGAGAAAGTCTTGGGGTTCCATTGACAAATCTTACTAAGCCATTCATGATTCTTTTCTGTCTGTCTCCGAGTTCAGGGTAGAAATTGAACGTCGGAATATGTGAGGAAGA